TCCACCAGGGGGAGCTCTAGAAACCCTGAAAATTCAATCATCTCATAACGACTGAGTTTGAAGTCAAGATATGAAACTTTAGGTCTTTCTGTGTCTATTTTAAAGGAATCAAATAAAGAAAATCAAAATCCTATTAGAAACCATTGTGTTCAGTTTGTTTGTTTGCATCACTGCTGGATAATATTCTGTCTTTTCTTACCGAGGCTGGTTTAGTCATTTTATTAGGAAGGCTGACTGTATGGAGGAGAATAGAATACTATAGGTCTCCCCCTCCCCCACATGTTGCTGCAAACGTCCAGTCAGCGGAAATCATCCATCAATGGCAATAAGAATCTAATCATCCCTGAATGAATGTTGCAGGTGACATTAATGTAACTGAAATAGAACTTTATTGATCTCAAAGTGGAGAAATTATCTCTCTGTATCTAACCCTTCCCCTTGGGGAGCAGTGGGCTGCCACTTTGCGGCTACCGGGGAGCAAAGTGGGGTTAAAGTAAAAGTCCGGCCAGTAAGGATCATAATCTATACCTAAAACTAATAAGTATGCAGTGATTTTATGAATTTAGCGTTAACAAAAAATAAATCTGAATGTTGAAATCTCAACATTAGATTTCAATTAGCTTGTCGCCTGTGTGAAGCTCACACTAAGATTGCGTATTGGCATGGGTGATGCAATACGATACGTGTCACAGTACTTTGGTCACAATATGATCTTAGACGATATTATTAAAGGGTGGAGTCAGAGTAAAAACATATGCAAGATGGGGTCCCTCCAGTGGCTGGAAGTTGGAGGGAAGTTGTCTGCCGTTCTGCTGGCTTTGACCTGGAAGGGCCACTTTAAATGGCTGCTGCTGTATGGGGTTTATTTTCTTCTTTGAGACCTGGAAAAACATTGAAAACTGAGCTGAACAAAGTACATAAAAAGTGAACAGATAAAGAAAAGGCTCAGTAGAGATTCTTTCTCCCTCAGATTCATTCATCACCTGGTTTTATCTGCCAGTCAGCCTCTCATCAAACAAAGCTCCTCTGTCCAGAACAGCAGCTACAACAGGAGGAAGGGACCAGACTCTGCTTTGTTCGCTCTCCTCTGACGCTCCTGTTCCAGCCAGAGAGCCAGATGTTATGTGCTTTTATTCCCAGCTGAACGCTGGCTTCGCTGCGGCTTTGAGAACTAACTGAGTTAGAGTGAGAAAGTGTCCGTCGTTACGTAACGAGCCCATGAACGGCCTCCTGCTGCTGTATACAAACAGTTATTCTACTGATTGGACCATAGAGACGCGGTAAATAGATAAATATCCGTTTAATCATCCACCTGTTTTAATGCAGGTGATGGTTGAATTTTCTAGCTGTAGCCTGTTAGCAGGAAGTTTGGACGTGTTTCCACCGTGTTGCATCATCATCTCTGTTTTAGTTGTCCTGTTTGATTTAGGAAAATAAAAAAAAATGAATCATTTTTCTTTTTTATCTGGTGATAAATGATGGAGTGAAGCTGATATAATGCAAGAAAATGAGTCAATCAGAGCTGAACGACCTCAGTAACCGCTCACTGACTTTACTGCTGCAGTCAGTTCAGTTTGATTTCACTTTAGATTTAATTCCCATAATAGATTCTGGATTTGTATGGCAGGCCATTTTGACATTTATTAGAAGCGCTGTTCCCTCTATTCTATTTGTTGATCTCTAAAATAAGATTCTTCCTGCTCAAAACTAGATTCTTACTAGTCAGAACTGTACATATAGATATCCTAAGTTACATTTTTGCCAGCAAAAATTAAAATTCAGCATGCAAAAATATAATTGTACAAGTTATAAACTTAAAAAAAGGGTTGAATGTTAGTTAAAATATGTTTTAAGTATCTAAAACTGCATTTTGGATAGTTATTAGTAAAA